CAAATGTAATCCCGAAAAATGGAATAATTAGGTCTTCAAGATTTTGGCAGGTTGCTTCCAAAGCTAACAATGGTTCGTAGTTTGTAAAGAAATCAGTGTTTGTATTACAAAGCCTTAATATTTTCATACAACAGTTGATTAAAGTTTTATAGAACAATTTGTCTTGCACTGTTAATCAGAAGTTTGTTATTAGAAGATCACTTTACTACCGAATGGTGCTTCTTCCAATTCAAGGTCTCGTCCATTCAAAGCTTACCTAAGTAACCACATATTAAAGCTACACTGTTTGAAAACACATCGTTAAGATGATCTTGAGCTAGAGCTTGAACTGATGGTGTATCAATTCTTCTGCATAAAAGCCACATTATAAATTTAATCACTGCAAATAGAGTCCAAATGATGATTGTGTTGGCAAATATTACAAAATATATAAATGAATAGAGAACCATTAAATAAATGATTAACTTTTGCAAAGAATGAAGGAAAATATGTAAAAAATATAATAAAGTGCAGAACATCTCGATCTTCTAGACCACAAAAAAAATTCTTTCCGGTTTTTGTGCCTGAAGCAACGGCTTATCTCTATCCGCTTTTTATCCTCAGACAGCAAACTTGAGAATCTGTTTTTAATCTCTTACAATAAATTTCAACGAATTTACTAGCATCTGGCAAAATTAATCTGTTTCATTCTGTTAAAACTGGATTTTTGGTGTCAAATGTGTCGGTGTATTATTGTTATTAAAGACATACTTGTTTACTTTTATTTCTAAATTACCAGAAATTGTATGACAGGTGGCGCCACATATTGGAGACATTAATCTATCACTCTGCAAGTCTTAGAAAACTAAGTTAATAATTCCTTCTAAAACCATTATATTATATTGATATCATTTTTGCGTTTATAAAAATTTATAGAGAGCATATCATTTTTATTCCTAGAGAAAAACATGGTTGCCATAGAAACGTAACTGGCGGAAGTAGTTTAAAAGATCAATCAAATTCAAAAGGAAAAAAGGGATAATTGTGTGTATTAATGCCTCCAGATTGAAAATATATTCTAAGTTTTCGTGTTTAACAGTCGTAAATGAATGTTGGATCATTGATAGAGCCAAATCGATAAAACCCGTCCATTTTAAATAATGTGTTTGATTTGATGATGGCAATTGAAGATCCATGATATTTGTTTTGGTAGTTTATAAATTGCTGAACACAAATTTCGTTGATCTAGCTTAGAAGGAACCGTTTGCTCGCTAATCTACAGCTTCGATCCCGACATGGGTGAAAATATGTTCAGCTTTATCAACTTGTCTGTAAAGCATGTCGAAGTGTTTAAAAGTTCACGCTGGAAGGCGAAAGCTGTAGATCCATTGACAGAAAGGCAAACAAAAAAAAAGTTCATTTCAAGTACTTTTTTCACTTATATAAATGAAAATCAGGCGTGTTCCATCTGAATAACAATCTGGAAACAGTCTTTTGTTACTATTAATGATCCTTGTTGACGAAGTGGGCCTCCGGTTTCATTTCAATAAGTGATTAGTATAGAACAATGTTTCTTTAAAATTTAACAGTTGCATACCTATCGTAGACCCAGCAATAATCATAGTAGCTATTTCCATATGGGGTAGGTCTAATACAGCGGTCGCTAATGCTGCGATACGTTCAATAGATTCCCGTATCAACTGTAACGATGCTAATCCCATGACAACAGCTATAATTACAATAGCTATTGGCTCCAACTTGGTTCTACCTAGAAGAATAGAATGGCATAGTACAGTTGCAATAACAATATATTTTGCTATCATGTTTCAAGCTTTACTTCAAACAAACGTTGGTTATGAAATGCAGTCAACAGCTTTGAGACTTGAAAATATTCGAGCTTAATGAAAACAGACATAGTGACTATATTCCCCAAAATGATGGACACAATATGTGTAATTTTGTATATGGTATAACTTTTTGAGAATTCTACTATTAATGCCAGTAGAAGAAGTAATACATGTTTGATGAACTTCTGTAGGTTATCAATGTTTCAAAAACAGTGTGTTATTTTGACTTCGATTTTTCTTAACCTTACTGTATTGCTAATATAATGGACCAATATTTCAAAATAAAACCTTCTAAATCGAACCAAAGGCACTTTGCTTTTTTTTCCTTTTCAAGGCTAATTTCTTTTGAGTAGTTCAATTCAGAAATTCAAATAATTTGCAATTTACTATGTCCATAAAGTCTATTTTGTAACTCCGTTTAAATTTTAATTATGCCGAGTTTTCTCCCTTCAAATGGTAAAATATTGCAGCACGCTACCTTGGGGATAAGCATAGATGTTCCGTCTTTTAACGGCATGGTTTGTCCACCATAGAACTATGCCTGATATTAGATCAACAGCACTGTCAACTAAACTTGATATGATAGAAATAGATCCCGACATCACACTGGCCACTGTTTTAGCTATTAGTAACAACTGGAAAGTAAAAGTACATACATCATAAAGAACACCTAATGCCAGTGACTCTGTAACTGCAAAACGTTGCAAATTGTTTTTAAGGCGGATTCTTGAGTCTTGGTGTCATGACCTCCTTTGGAACCGCCATTGATAAGATTTTTCCACTATGTGTCGCTTTCGCACAGTTAATACTGTTTATTTGGTGGATCTAGTAATGCATATATCATGTGCCCTAATGTCCTTTACTAAAATCAGCGAAAATATTTAGATCACGTGCATCAAGAAAACGTGCATCAAGAAAAAACAAGAAAAGATCAACAAAAACGCTGTATACTTCTTGAGCATAGCATAGCAACAGTATGGACGAAAAGGAATACCAATTGTTTTTTGTAAGTAATTACTTTGAATCTAGCAGTTAATTACTTAGTTTTATGGATTTATTGGAATACAGGTATTCGGATGTATATTTATGGCACCAGTAATTTCCAATGAATATATACATATACTCTTATTGGCTAAGTTTTAGAACTTAAATTTTATGTTCATTATAAAACTAAGAGGTGGAGGATTACAGATGTTCACAAATGAACATCAAACGCATTAAAGAAAAAAAATTTCTAAAAATTCATATAAAAAAATATTCAAAAATAAAATATCAATACAGACGATAGTAAAAAAGGACTCACCAAATTTATACAGAAAGTGAGCTTTGCATAGCAACTGGCTGTTTTCCGTAATCGTATAGCTTCTTGTCGGTTCTCCATAGCATCGTCAATTTCTAGCTGTATCTCTTCAAACGTGGTAATTAATTCATCTTGTGCTTTGTAATATGATCTTGAAAAAAGTTATATACCAGAATTACGAATGGTTCTCTAAAGGATGGTCTACAGAGAGATTTGACTGATGAGAACAGTGCAATGGATGATAAGGTTTTATTGGAGAAGATTTTCGGAGAGATGTCAAGCTCGTCCTGCTTTCTTCCTACGTCCTGGTTTTCCTCCTACTTGCACTAACAAATATCATTTACACAATACAAAGGTTTTGGGACAGAAAAAAAACATTACTAGATTTTAATTCGTATATCCCATCGCCATCGTATGGTAATCTTGTGAAAATGGCCCATATTGGAGTGTGATCATCTTCAAAACTGAATCTTGCTTGAAAGAAGTCGTTTGTCACTTTACACAGTTGTTCGGTAAATATGTGTACATACCTCATACGTTTTGAATGTTGTTTATAATTTGGCCCTTGTTTTTTAGATGAAAAATGATGAATTGGTATTTTCCATCTCTCATCCCCTTCTAACAATATATAAAAAGTTTTTAAATATTAACATATAATAGTATTAATATCACTTTATCTAATGCTAGAATCTACTATTACAGCTGATAAGAAATACTATTTTAATTATGCTCATTTATGACTTACTTTTAAAGCAAAAGTCTTTCATGAATGACATAGTCCAATGAGGGAATTTTGCCTTTCGATTTCCAACTGTCGATGGAACGTCTAGAGCCTGTAGGACACGGGGCCTCGGTTTATTGTCCCATCCGAACGACAAGAGGCTTTCTCCATGTTTGCTCCTCTTACCTACATCACTGACTTGTCGATTCTGTTTTAGTTGAAAGATCATGTCTACTGCAACCTATCGGACGTCGATTAAGAAATCGCCAATATTGAATACGATAAATTGGTGTATGTAATATGATTGCAGACAGATGTTCCTTTCTGTAAATAAGAAATTTCAGATTTCCTACCTCCCGATATAGGTTTAATAAGAGAATTCTTTTCCTGAGGATTACTCTCCTCCATGTTCATAATTTAAACAAAATATGTTAATTCAAAAAAAGCGTTGCTTTCATAATCTAACCTACATTTTTATACCAAGACGGTTTTATCTTATCACTTGGTATTATAATGTAAAACCTGATACCTTCAATATAAGACAAATTGTTTTATATTATCAATACATTTTCTATTTCGACTATGACATTTCATTTATTGACTCACACAATATACTTTTAAAATATTCACAGGTGTCTGCATACAGAATAGGATTCTATCTATCTTTTCAATATATATCTATAGTTAAATATGTTACGTAGACGTATTGAATGTTAGAATAGTCATACCTATTTAGAACTCTATAATATAGCCTACTTTATTTCAATAGTGTAAATAGTTCACAAAAATCACATAATTCCTTTAAAATACTTCAAACTAGGAATGTTACTCACAGTTTCTATATATATATTTTCTATATTTTACAGAGCATTTAAAACTGACGAGTCATTTTAACATTCAACCGAGGATAATTCTGAACACACATGGATTTGAAGGCTCAAATTTCGATGATGTGCTGAGAACACTATTAAAGATTGGCTTAGGTGAAAAATTCCCTTTTTCTGAGACTAACGTGTGAAAATGACATATCTGTCCCTTGAAGAAAACAGGGGTATTAACAAGGTTTATTATAATTGGAAGGCATTCAAATTTAAACTTGATTCCCTTTTATGATGATCACTCTCGCACTTGGAGGGGGGTGCATTGCGCCATGATAATTGAAAATTGTAGTCTTCCAAAATTGCGTTAGATGTATTCTCTATTCCAGGGGGAGGCCACATGACTAATGAACTCTTAAATTCGCAAAGGATTTTCTCAAATAATTTGATATTATTCCCCGACTTTCGAACGCCACATGGGCACTGAAATCTTGGTCATAATTTAAAAGAAGTCTAATAAACATAGCTAATGACCTTCTTTAGAGTATTGGGATTTTGTAGTTTGAGTTCCTTCCCTTGATATAAGAAAGACCTTCACTAATATCTATTTAAATTGTGTTTACTCAGATTTCATAATCTTTATATATCACGCTTTTTGAATACCTTAATAGAAACTGAAATCCTGGTCATAATTTAAAAGTAGTCTACTAACCGTGCCAATGACACACTTAGAAATAAACATTGGGATTTTTTAGTATGAGTTACTTCCCTTGATATAAGAAAGACCTTCACTAAGATCTATTTAAATTGTGTTTACTCAGAATTCATAATTATAATATATCACACTTTTCGAACACCTACACTTAATCCTGGTCATAATTTAGAACAAGTCTCATAAACAGCGACAATGACCTACTTAGAGATAAAGATAGGATTTTTTTTAGTATGAGTTACTTCCCTTGATATAAGATCCATTTAACTTGTGTTTTCTCAAATGACAGTGTAATTGCGTTTTGCTCATGGAAGTTGACTATTTTCCAAAACAAGACAAAAGTGGCTTTTGTCGAGTACTAATAGATTGATTCATAATCAAGTAAGCAGAAGTCTTTCACGAACAAATTAACTGTTGTTTACATTTGTGCTTGTTTACTATTGGAAGCCCTCTTTTCTTTTATTATAGACGTTCACTCTATTTTCTCCACATTGTCCATATTTTATTAATATTGACAGAACTTCAAGGGCCTGTGGCATGATGTATCGCGTATTGTATCTCGAGGTTGTGTATCGATACTTGACGATACTTTTCAATCTATAACTGGGGATTTTCGGCGATAGGAATCACAAATTTTTCTCACTGACTGGACTAAAATTTTGACAGTAGACGTGAACAACTCCTATCAACTACATTACCAAAAATCACTGTTATAAGTTATAAATGAATAAAAATTGAATCTTTGAGGATAAAAAATTAAATATTAACCCATCATCCCATATCGCTGTACATAGTGTATCGTGACCCATGTATCACGATACATAGTTTATCTTGACCCATGTAACGCGGTACGTATCGTATCGCCGAATGATTGGCGATACCAAGCATTAGCGTGGACAGATATCTTTTACGTACTGACCTGGAAATATACTACTGTTAGATGGAGCAACTTGAGTCAATCTGATGCTTCTTCTAGGATGAACAAGATGAGATGAACTACGAACACCAGCACGTCCCAGTAGAACTTTATCATCAACAGCATCATCATCGCCAGCTTGTGTGTCTTGAACATTGTCAGAATTTGAATGCTTCTGAAAGTATGGATTTAAATGTAAACACACTGGTTCCGGACGTTTCATGAATGACCACTCTTCTCTCGACAAATTTTCAAAAGTTCATATCGTCCTTCAAAATGGACCATCATTTTATAAAATTGGACAAATGGGCCATATTTTACAACATAAGTTTTCGGCAGGAGTAAACCAACAGTGTTTAAAACCCACGACTCAAACCAGCATATGAAGTCGAAACTTTAAGGCTCTTGCTGACTGGGATATTGTGCTCTAAAAATTCTCCAGCATGCATCAAACGGCAATATTCCCCCCAAAATCGAAAGAAAATTAGTATACCTGACTCAATCCGTATGGCTTATCACCGGCACTTAATCTTCTTTTGCGTCTGAAAGACTTCCGGATGAATTCCAAGAGATCAACTTTGGTTTCGTTGGCACTGTCTGAAGTGGTGGAACTGTCTTCGAGAGCAGGGCCCTTACCAAGTCCATTTCTTCCATCTTTATCGATGTTATAGCCTTCGATCACATAAATTCCATTTATTGCTTTGTCTTTGTTAATCTCGTCCTCTAAGAAGCCAAAATTGTGATACATCTGCAATTCGGGATCATTTGTTGCTATATGCTGAAACGGTAGGAGAATGTTTTAGAAGAAGGAAAAGGGAATTGGGAGTAGTAAATGCGGGTAGTGATGCAAATTGAAGGACTGACAACGGAAAATAAACCAAGATGCCTTGTGCCACTGGCTGAGCATGTTATGGATCCCTCTACAGTAGGAAACAAAAAAGAAATCCTGCTGCCGTCCTCCTAAAAATTCCTTGCATACTGCACGACAGTGTCCTTCTTCATTATCTAAAACAGGGGCGTACAAAATATATCGTAGAACTAATCATTTCTTATTTAAACCTATATTTTGAAATCGGTTAATATTAAGTGACTGCATTTGAAATAGATCTATATGATTCAGCATTCACTTTCACTGAAAGATGTTTGAACAATCGAGAACAAATAAACCGTGACGTAACAAGACCTTGTAGGCACTCCTCTTAACATAAAAGATTTGGTTCTTCCTGCTGTATGAACGTGAAAACCACGAAATTCTTCTTAGTCTCTTTTTATTCTAGATTACTGTATTACGTGATAGAGTTTTGCCATTTGATTAGAAGGTGTGACAGAACAGTTAGTTACAATAGATTACAACATAAGGAAACTAAAAAATTAATGTAAGTGCACAAGATCAAAACATTGTAACAAAGAGTGGCTGTGGTATAGATTCATATTAACAGAAGTTGCTATATCGCCCTTTCGTTCATTGAACTATAGCTCACCATCAATTTTTTTACAAGTATACTCCGACATAGATCTCCCTCTTACTAGCGTCTGAAATATTTTGTCTGCGAAACTGAATTTTTTCCTCGAATTTTATGTGAACAAAATTAGTAGAAATAGTCTCAAATTGTTTTTGGGTTGATTTTTAACCTATGAAAAAAATGAGAATTCGATTTTACAGAGGATAATGTTCAGTGAAAAATGTACTTCAAGCGAAATTTTGCAATGTAAAATCACCAAAAACTTTTATTTCTAGAATTTTCGAAGACATAAAAACAAGGATTCGGTACAAAATTTTTATTTTGAATATTTGTGAAATGACAGTAAAATTCGAATTCAGAAATTGCATTCGTCTAAGAGTAAAACGTTCACAGGAATAAGTGTTGCATGCAAAGAAAACATCTGAAAATTACTGGAAAAAACTCACCAAATTTCTAGTAATATTAGAATCCATTGAATAAGCTTATTGTTATTTAAAAATGTCAAAAAAAAAAAATTCACCCTTTTATATTAGTTCTCGAATGTTCACTAATTTCATTAAAAATAACCCAAAACGCCAACGCGCTAGAAAATATACTAATTAAAACAAACTATATTGTGATTACAATGGGAGATTAATTTGCAATAAAAGATAAGTTTTAATTGAAATAATGAAAGGGAAATATTCTGATTGTTTTTAAATAAAAAGGGTGATAGTTTGATAAAACGAAGACAAAAAATGTGCAGTTTAGATTGAAAATAGCGACCTGGGGTGAATATTGGTTAAAATATCCTCATATACAATTAGGATTATAATAACAATATTGTTATTTATGTTCATACACAATAGATGTATTATTACAATTATTATTTACATTTTTTTAAATGAATAACATTTTTGTCACTTTTGTGTTGGGTAGAAGGTTATTTATTGAAAACAAACGTGACCTTAACCGTTAACCTTGCGACTTGTAGAACGTGGAAGCTACTGCCCATCAACAACAACTGGCAGAATATGTCCAATCGCAGATGCCAACAGATATAGTAAAACAAAAACATAACATGCCGATCGAATGTCGCCAGATTATTGATGGCAAGTTAATTAAACGTAGAAAAAAAAAATTAGAAGAATGGATTTACAATTCAGATATTCTGAATCTGTGAAGATCTGGATAACAAGTTCGTTCAGTCAAAAAAAAAAATTGTAGCAATATGTTGATGTATCGCAATGTTTGCAATGGTGAAACATCTTTTAAGTAATTTCAGCGTGTTTATAAACTGAATATTTTTGGCTTTGGTTTGATGTTTTCATTATTATTGAGTGTTTTATTATTTGGTTTACCATGATGACTAAATTCCTAATTATTGTGATGTTTTTATCTGTGGTTGAATCAAAATAGACCAAATACATGTACGTTATTTTAAAAGCTAAAATGGCGTAGGTTCTTTATGTGTGTTTTGAATATGGTATTTTTCTAAACTATTCTATTGTTTAACGATGTATTCCATTTTACATAATACATTAAATTAGTCCTTTTTGAAACTCTATTTTGTTTTTTCCCGAGAATATTTGTAACGTACAAATTTTGACCATAGCTGATCTAATGCTGCAAATTGGGATTAACAATCAAAAGCGGATTAATTTTCCAAATTTATATTTCAGTTCACATAAAAATGATAGCAAAAAAAAAAAACTCTTAATGATTACCAGATAAAAATGTAATATTAAAAATCAAACCTGCGATACACGGGGTGGCGGTAGTTCCGATTGTTTATTACCCATCGCTAATCCGTTAATCCACACTAATCTCTCACACTTTTATCAATATTTCCCTTTTTATATCAAAAATATTCACCAATGCACTTAAATTCTAGTTTGAAAGTATTCAATTTCCGACAAAAAAAATATAATACGATAATTCAATTGAATCCTTTAAATTCACAGCTTAAAATGACACAATCATTCCATTGTTATAAACATTTATAGATAATTGAATTTCATTAAAATACATTTTCTTACCTTGGTTATTACTAGTCACGTGATGGGGGTAAAAAATACAATCCGGAAATATGTACGATCACGATGATAATTTTAGAGCTGACCCTAATACGTGATAATGTCCAGTAAAAAAGATTTGATATTCATTTTCTTTATTGTACTTTAATCATATAAGTAGTCCATTTTTTTATAATTAATATCAATTAATGTACCAGATGAAATTATATATATTGATGATGTTTATAATAATATTGCAACATCATTTTTAAATGAAAGGATAGATTGTTACATGGTTTTAATGTACTTCTAATGTACTATATAAGATTTGAACGACATTTAGAACCGAGGAGCACACATAATACACTCAAGACAACAATTAGGGGATATATAATACATGGGTACATGCTTCGCCAGTAGCTACTTTTGACGGTAGCTTCGCAGGACCAGATCGCCCTAGCTTGCGAAGCTACCGTCAAAAGTAGCGACGGGGCGAAGCAACAGTGAAAAAATTTATTTATTCCAATCTTGCTTAGTTTTATTTATACCAAATGATAACTAACCCCAAAACACGTAAGCCATTTTATTAGCCAAATTATAACAATTGTAGCAAAAATACTAACACGTCATGTAGCACCAAACACAAGACATTCCGGTGTTTACTCTAATGGTTAGCAAACGGAATCGAACTGACTGAGTCACCCCGGCTCCCACTTAATAGAAAATTAGCACAGAGCAGATTGTTGTCATCTAATTCCCTTAATTATATATTATTATCTACCTAGCTCATCATTATCTCATTATCTTAATAAGTTATTAAATGTAATTAAGATATAAGGTCGACAGGGCAAAGTGCTGCTCGGACATTGGAACCGGAAACTATTGTTTTACAATCGCCAAGACCAAGAATTTTTTAAAATTCAGTAATGGAAAGAAGCTGGCAATTTTTAATCTATTATCCCCATTCCACTAGGCGACGATCTACTAAAGTACCCATCACACCTTAGAACTTTAGATCGCCGCTTTGTGGAATTAACTAGAACCTGTTTATTAATGCAGCTTATTTTTTCATGATAAATTATACACTTGAAATATTACACAGTAAAGTTACATTTTTTCACGACCTCTTGTTTATTTGCAATTGCATATAATAACAGACTGCCCCTTTAAATAAATAAAATACAGCAAGATAGAAAGTAAGAAATGAATATGAAATAACACCTTTGCAAAAGTTGTTTTTTTTTTGTGTGTGTATCAAATTGGATCACAGGGTTCAATCCCGTCATAGGCAGAGACAGACTAACCATTAGGCAAACTAGGCAGCTGCCTTTTGGCCCATGAAAATTTTGTAACAGTAAAAATTATCAAACAAGTATTAAATTTCCGCAGGTCCATCGAAAATTGTCCTATTAGGAGCGCGATGTGTGAGAATCGACTAAATTGTTTGAGCCTAATGGTGATGAATGCCGTTATCCTGCATACGATTGATGCTGATGATTGATCTGTTCCTTAATAAAAGAAGATCGCAAATTTCCTGCTATCAAATTGTAATCACACCATGCCTCCTACCTAAAATGAGAAATTAGGCCCTCTACCGTTCGTTTGCCTACAAGTCCAAAATCCGCCACTGGTCATAGGTTGAAACAACTTCTTCGGATTTTTTAACCCGGTTTCAACCTGTCAGTGATGCATGTAAAAGGAACTGACATGGAAAAAGCTTTTACATTAAATCGAGGACCCGTGTGCTTCAGGCTGTGCATGTTAAAGACCCCTTGGCAGTAGGGAATCTAAAAAGAGTAAGTAAAACTCTATTGATTTTATTTCAAATTGGATTAGGCTAATTATGATCAAGTAAGCCAATGCAGCTGTAGACCTGTTACCAACTTGAGAATGATTTAATTGGTCTTATTACATATAGTTGTGGTGTGATTGGGAATTATAGTACTTCACGGGTGAACAACTGGTTGGGGATATTAGCAAACTTACAACACCAAATCTGGAACTATCTGAAAGGTTTGTCAATTGGAGCTTGCTAATACAAGTGTTGGATGTCTGCAGTGGTAGCAGTGGAATGATGCATCAACTTAATGATTTTGCTAGAAAAACGTCTTTGATTCTGTTCCTTATTGCAGCAATCTATCGTTTAGTGGAGCCAGCGGTATTTTCATTAGGTATCTATGTGCCGTCTGAAGGACCCCGGAGGATGGGGTTTGAAGCCAACACTGCAGTTGAATTGGCAATGAACAGAATTAACAATGATGTCGAATTTACGGCGATTAGAGAACGTAATCATTCTTTCAACTACAGAATGGTCAATAGTGCATGTGAACCAGGAAGCGGTCTGTATCAATTTGTTGAAATGACGAAAGACTTACAGGGGATTAATGCAGTGATAGGTAAGTCTAAAGTTGGATGACATGCTCTCTTATTTTGTCATCTTCTCAAAAAGGAAAAAATGGGCGACGTCTTGCACAATACTATTCAATGATGTCAGCACCCCATAACATATCGACGTGTATCAATCGGTAACATGCCAAATTGTTATCGACGCTTCTACAGTCTCGTTGCTAGTCGTTTGTTTTATTTGATGATGCCGAGATAATTGATACATTTGCCGAATTACTGGTCATTTTGTTATTTTCTGGTTCAATATTCGGACAGTCATGTAATAAGGAAGGTATGGTTTCAAGACGTCTTTCCGACAGTTGCCATGCTCAGTTATCCAATTGATGCCATCCTGAAATTGGGGTTGTCAACTCGGCATTCCCTCTTGTAGAATCCATATAGCTGATGATCTTTATATATATTTATCTAGCTGTTTGATTTTCAGGACCTTACTGTGATGATGTATGTACTTCGGTAGGTTTGCTAGCAGGCAGATACAAAATACCATTTATAACGTATGGGTGTGAGAGCGACGAGCTCCTAGACCGAGAGCTGTATCCTACCTTCATGAGAACGACCGGTACTTTCAAAGACATGTCAAATTTTATCAGACTCATTGTTCAACATTTTGGTTGGACCAGAATTACCTTTGTTAGTGGGAGACAGGATGTTTGGCTGGAGGCAGTATCATCATTTGAGGTAATACATGTTAATCGAAGTCAAATAGAATTTTAAGTTTTTTTGCAGGAACAGGAACACCTATTATCGTAACCGAAATTTCAATCGCTTTAAAATATAAAATAATTCAATTTCATGTAGCTTTGTTCAGTACATGGGTTGTTGCTCAGTTAGGTCGCTTAGATGACTTCGAACTGACCCGTCGGAACATGTCACCATCTATCTGTTGGCAGTTGGAAGCAGTCGGTCAGTTTGTCTGTATAAGCGTTTGCTCGTGTTTATCGTGACATATTGCCTTGATTGGATAGCTAACGCCTATAAGCTGGTCGGTAGATGACAAGTTTACATCCGCATCCAACAAGAGCTGATATCACAGACTCGATAGTTGTTGGTAGTAGGCTTTGGATCAATTGGAT